TAAAGAACATTATAACCTGATGAACAAAAAGATAGATACAGAGGCAGAGAAGCATCGAACAGACTGTCAAATGACAGGGGGAAGGCTGGGAAGGGGTGGAGGATGCGGAGGTAAGAGATCAACCAAAGGACTTTTATGCATGCATATAATCATAACCAATGGATGCAAAACACTGGGGGTGGGGAGAGGGCATGTGCTGGGGAGTAGGGGAGGCTGAGGGAAGGTCAACTGGGGGGAAAAAGGAGACATATGTACTATTTGTAATACTTTAAACAAAAAAAGAAAAAATGATATTTGGAAAATCATGGTTTTTTATAACTACAGTTGATGGTGCAGGACATAAGTCATAATAATTCATTATGAGAGTAAAGATAGTGGAGTTCATTTACAGGGGGAGGGAGGGAGAGGGAGAGGGAGAGAGGGAGAAACATCAATGATGAGAGAGAATCATTGACCAGGTGCCTCCTGCATGCCCCCCCCACCCCCCGGGGATTGAGCCCACAACCTAGGCATTGCCCTGGCCAGGACTCAAACCGTGACCTCCTGGTTCATATATCGATGCTCAACCACTGAACAACACCGGCTGGGCACTAGTATTTTCCTCAAAGTTGGAAGTATAAAGACCCAAAAAAACTCAAACAAACCATGAGTGTGATGTGTATAAATTTACTTTCGTAGAACTTAAACAGAGAGCTTAATCTGAAATGCATTCAAGAAGCAGCAACTTTTGGACTAAGCAATGTCTTCCTTAACAACACTGTGTAGAAATAGCCACTCTTTCAGTAAAACGTTGACCTTTCCTCACCTCTTCCTCGCCCTCCCCAAAATACCCTTAATAAAGCAGAGGGTTTTCTAGGAAACCCTGCCCTTTCTCTGTCCCCAGGGCTATCTTCCTCCGTCAGCTCTAATCTCACTCAAACAGCCCGTGGCTATTCTAAAACAGAAGCAGTCGTTTCCCATACACGCATTTATTTTTTTCCTGAAGAGAGATATTCCTCTTTAACTAGCCTTACTTGGAGTGTGTAAGGGTGGGGTCTAGTTAAGCTCTTCATATAAGAAATTTTAATGGTTGAAATAGTTTTTCCTAAATGTTCTTTTTTTTAAAAATACTCCCGTACTTGTTTTGTTTTGATTTTTTAAATATTGTATTGATTTCAGAGAGGAAGGGGAAAGGGAAAGTGAGATAGAAACATCA